AAGAGAACCTATAAATCAAGTTGCCATATTATAATATCCCACAGGCTTTCCTATCAGCATGCATAACATCCACATAAATACTATAAATTTGCAGCCAGTTTGTAAATTAAAAAGTATAATAAATATCTGGAATCAGCACAAGTGATCATTCTTTGTATCAATATTATTGTTATCAATATTCTTTGCATTAGCTGAGCAGTACACTGATCTATGTTATGTGGCTTCAACATAAGTTCAAGGATCAGAATTTCAGGCCCCAAAAAAATCAATGTATGTATTTTTAAACTACTATAATCTATGGTGATCTGTAATACATCATAAAAATAATCTTTTGTTTCATCATAAAAGCATTTAGGCCCCAGAACAAGGGTGTTATTGATTAAAGGATACTGTATGAATTACCAAGTGAAGAGCATCTTCAAGAAAAAGGTTCTACTTGGCATGATCAATAGATATTCTGGTGACAAGTCATCATGGACAAAACAGTTTTCAATAAATATTGAATAGGTAAATTGTATTTGTTGGGGTAAAATAAGGATTTCTATAGTATATAAAGACATTAGAAAGATCTCATCTTTAACCAGTCAAAAATACAACATGAATCAATCATCTATTGTAAATAGCAACATAAAATGCACCATAAGAAAAAAATGGTACACATGCTACTTATTTAAAAATCAGTAACTTAACAGGAAAGATCTTCTAGAACAGAGGGGTCATCATGACCTTCTCTTAACATTGAAAGCTCAGCAATTTGTCTGCTGGCCTGCAGCTGTTTATTAAAGCACCTCATCTAAAATGCATCCAATTAATGGATGTCAGGGGCCATTCATAAAGAACCAGGTTAAGGCAGCTCAATACAGCTAGTCAGCTGTTCAGGTCACATTGAGCCATTTTATCATTTTTATTTAGTAGCCCAGGATAATACATAATGTTGGCAAAAATGTGAAGTTAACACTTAACAGCATGGATTTGTATAACCAGTAGTCTCCAAACTGTGGCCCGTGCCTTTATTCAGCCCCTGGGACACTATAACTCCCACTAATATTAACCATTTTTCCTCCCACCGACACCAATGATGGGGTACTGTTCCTCCCACTGACACCGATACCAATGATGGGGTACTATTCCTTCCACTGACACCAATGATGGGGTACTATTCCTCCCACTGACACTAATGATGGGGTACTATTCCTTCCACTGTCACCAATGATGGGGTACTATTCCTCCCACTGACACCAATGATCGGGCACCATTCCTTCCACTGTCACAAATGATGGGGTACTATTCCTTCCACTGACACCAATGACCGGGCACCATTCCTTCCACTGTCACCAATGATGGGGTACTATTCCTCCCACTGACACCAATGATCGGGCACCATTCCTTCCACTGTCACCAACGATGGGGTAGTATTCCTCCTACTGACACCAATGAAGGGGCACTGGGCCTTTCACTGACCATAAAAATGGGGTAAATTTCTCATCGACAGCTAAGCCTGTGGCACCATTTACTCACACTGACGCAGGGGCATTTTCTACTTCAACTGGTCACAGGAGGACTGTAATCTGGCCCTTTGTTTAGAAAGTTTGGAGACCCCTGGTATATAAAAGGTATCGATTTGAGCTTTGTGTCCTGCAACCCCCCCCCCCCACCCCAGCTGCTTTTTTTTTTAATAGATCAGTCCAAACTAAAAATTAAATACTTTTACCTACGTGCAATAGATCTCAATCTTATTTCCAAATACCTTATTTTTATGTATTACTCATGTAACATAACATTTGGGTACTTGCTCTGCACTGCAATGCAAGAGGTGTGGGTGGAGCAAGCAGCCAGTAGAGTCACTGCAGGAAGTCTACAAAAGTTTCCCGCTGGTTGACAGAACCAACTGGCGCTACTGCAGTCCCATGTCAAAAATTAAAACAAAATTCAGATTACACTAAAAAATAATAAATCAGATCTAAACCACAATTTTGTATGTTACATATCCACTGTAATAAACATATGGTGGGGAAATTATGTGATCCGGTGCAGATTTTGTAAGTTTGCCCACTTACAAAGAAAAGAACGTTCTACAATTTTTATCATATGTGTATTTTAAATGAGAGAGACAGATATCAACCAAAAATAAAGAAAAAAAACATATGATACAAATGTTATAAATTGAGGAGTTGCAGTTCACTAAGTAAAATAAGTATTTGATCCCCAAGCAAAACAGGACTTGGTATTGGAGGAGAAACCCTTGTTGGCAAGCACAGAGATAAAGACATTTCTTGTAGTTGGCTACCAGGTTTGCACACATCTCAGGAGGGATTTTGATCCACTCTTCATTACAGAGCTTCTCTAAATCCTTAATTTTTCTTGGCTGTTGCTTGGCAATTCGAAGTTTCAGCTCCCTCCATAAATTTTCTATAGGATTAAAGTGTTACTAAACCCAGAACAGTAAAATCTATCTGTATATGCAGTAAAGCATGCTTGTTATACTCACTGTGGAACATAAGGGGTTAATCCTCCACATTGTCTAAAAAGGATGTTTGATCCTGTCTTCTCTGATTCGCCCCTTCTTCCAGTGTCCTCCTCTTATCTCCTGATAGAACAGAGGCTCAGGGGCAAGCTGCACATGCTCAGTTTGGTGTGTATTGCTAGAGATTTTTTTTTCTTTTTTGGGAGAGTGCATGTGGTCAGCACAGGTCCAATCAGCATGCTCCAGTAAGAGGTCAGGGGTCCTGCATCTTCCTACAGGAGAATGAAAACTCCTCCTACAAGCTGTAACCAGTGCTCTGCTGGACACTGACAGAAGTCACAAGACTGCTGTAACTGTTGATGACAAAAGGTATTCAGTGGTTTATAGTTACTAAAATAATTGCATTTCAGTGTTGTGTGTACTGTGTGAGACCAGATATAGTGAATGCAGGGTCCTGGGTTTAGTAACACTTTAAGGTCTGGAGACTGGCTAGGCTACTCCATGACCTTAATGTGCTTCTTCTTGAGCCACTCCTTTGTTGCCTTGGCGTCATTGTCATACTGGAAGTTTTGGGTCGTTGTCATACTGGAAGACCTATCCACGACCCATCTTCAGTGTTCTGGCTGAAGGAAAAAGATTCTCATCCAAGATTTTACAATACATGGTCCCGTCCATTGGCCCCTCAATGCGGCAAAAGTCTGCCTGTACCTTTAGCAAAGAAACAGCCCTAAAGCATAATGTTTCCACCTCCATGCTTGACTGTAGGGATGGTGTTCTTAGGGTCATAGTCAGCATTTTTCTTCCTCCAAACACGGCGAATCAAGTTAATGCCAAAGAGCTCAATTTTGGTCTCATCTGTCCACAGCACTTTCTCACAATCCTTCTCTGAATCATTTAGGTGTTCATTGTCAAACTTCAGATGGGCCTGGACATGTGCCTTCTTGAGGAGGGGGACCTTGCGGGCAATGAAGGATTTCAATCAATGGCGGCATATTGTGTTACCAATGGTTTGTTTGGTGACTGTGGTCCTAACTGCCTTGAGATCATTCACAAGCTTCTCCCGTGTAGTTATGGACTGATCTCTCACTGTTCTCATGATCATCCTTACCCCATAAGGCAAAATCTTGCATGGAGCTCCAGACCAAGGGAAACAGATAATTATTTTGTATTTTTTTTCTATTTGCGAATAAATCGTTCCAAAAGTTGTCTCTTGTGAGGTTTGAATGGAAGAAAGATTCTGTGGACAGATGTCTTTTTTACACATAACGAGTTGTTGTTAGGAGCACCTTCTTGAATTTACAGGACTAATCTGTGTACCACATGAGCACATAGCCAGGCTGTGGGAGCCAGAATTTGTAACATCATTTAAAATACACCTATGATAAAAAATTATAGACCCTTCCTTTCTTTGTAAGTGGGCAAACATACAAAATCTGCAGGGGATCAAATAATTATTTTTCCTACTGTGTATAAATATTCTGATAATTGTGGAGGAGTCTGTGCTGATTGACAGCTTTTGTCACACTTCTGAGCAGACATACAGTATGAAAGAGCATTAAGAGGGTGGCAGCAGGGCAGTAGAAGATGTCAGGCCCCCTGCTGGCCCCCACAAGATGACAAAAAGAGTCACATGGGGTGGCTTGTAGAACAGAAACAAGAAATACAGTTAAGTAGCAGAATCAACCAGGTATTTAGGAAGAATCACAACACGCATAATGGAAAGATTGTGCAGATGGGTAGAGATCATATTTCTACATGTAAATGACAACTAAATGCTTTTTAGGTTGGCACTTTAAAGTACACTAGCCTGTGGAGTAAATGCTAGTACACTGGCCCTTAAAAGAAATCTGCATTGAAAGAAAAATGTAGTCAGCCGTTTCAGTTTTATTTCTGAAAACTCTAGTTCCCTAACTGTCTCTAGCTTCAGTATTTTCTGAGTCACTGACCCTGAACAAGTAGAGCGAAGAAGTCCTAATCTCCATATTTTTACCAAACCAGTGATCTGAGACATATTGAAGCCAATGGATCAACATTACAGCCAAGTAATCCCCAATTTTAAAGTTTCAGTCAGAAATGTCACACCTAAAAGAACCTTCAAAATTCAACAACAGGCAAACGTTTGTTGTCAGTGGAAACAAAAGATACTGACTACTAGGTCTTGAATTTCATCCATCTTATCTCAAAGGATAAGTTCACCTTTTAACAAAAAATAATAAATGCACATTGTTTGCAGGTAAAAAAAAAAAATGGGCATTTATTCTTTTTTGTTTCTGGAGCCTCTAAAGCAGCGGTCACTAAATGGGGGATCACGGTCCGCGAACGGCCCCAGCAGCGCTGCTGCTCGACCACCAGCCCGCAATGACAGATCCACTGCTTAGCAGGGCGGTCCGCACGGCAACATGACATCACATGCCATCACGTGTGCGCCCTGACCCTTTCAGCTCACAGTCTCTCCGGCTCCCGCTCCCTGCCTGTACACACGCGTCCAGCAAGGATCCCGGCAGAGCTCCTGTCTGCCCTCAAGGTAGGGTGTAGTTTTACAGGGGCACTCAGATGGGCACACTGAATGTTAAAGGGTACTCTGATGTGCACAACATAGAATGTGTCCAGCAGAGTGCCCATTATTTTATGTTCAGGGGCACTCTGACGGGCCCAATTTATGTTAAGGGAACACACATGGGCACATAATGTGGAAAGAGGCATTCTGATGGGCACATGTGATGGGAAGGGGCACTCTGATGGGGCATATGATGTAACGGAGCACATATGGGGAAATATAATAGAAAGAGGTACATTGAGTGTAAGGGGGCACTCTGACAGGAATACCAGTGTAAGGTGGCACTGTGATGGGGCTGATGTGATGGGAATACATGATGTAAAGCTGCACACACCTAATGTAAGGGAGCACACTGATGGACACACCCTATTTGGACCTCAGCCAGAAGAAAAGTTTAGTGACCGGACCTCCTTGAATTTTAATTCAATACCTCTGCTGTAAAGCATTGCATATCACTGGTGCCATTCAGATCTCCCTCTGATATGTCACTGTATCTGCTTGCTTGAACATCCTATACAGGCAAGCAGATACTTACTGACAGGAAAAGGGGGGTTGGTACCCAGTCCGTTCACAACATGTTACAACCTGAATATGTGTGGAACATGTTCCAAAAGGTGAACTTATCCTTCAATTCATATTTAAGTTTCAAGTAGGTTAGATGAATCCTCCATTGACTTTGAACATTTTGTACACTAGATGTGACATGACTGGCTTTGACCAGGTGATCACAAACCTAAGCCAAGGAGTTTTTTGTACTTCTACTATTAATTACATAATGAAAAAATAAAAGGGGAATTGGGTGACAAGAGTGAGATCCACTATAATGGCTGCAGCACGTTGTAATTATATTGTAGTATACAGAACCTTTTTTTTTTTGTTTTACATGAATGTGGGTTTGTTTAAGACACACATTAATCATATATGTTTTTGCTTTACAAAACATTTGTCTTTAAATATGTAATTTGCCATATTTTGCATAACAGTCTTGTGCAATAGCTCATCTAGATTTCGCTGCAACAATATTTCCATGTAACATTGGCCAAATTCTTGAGAAAGCCATGTTTTCTTGTGTAAACATTACAAGGTTCCACATCAAGCAATATACAAGTAAACAACACAATTGTTTTTCATCCCATGTAGTCCTTAGAAATACTTTTAAAGCGTCTAAAGCAGATATACTGTATGAAAGTGGTGTTTTGGGGCTACTTATTTCCTTCCCCCTCCTCCTTTGCAGGCCTCAGCTCAAGAATTAGATTGACTGAGGTCCCAGCCAGTCTCAGATTGAAAGACTGAACTTCCTTACATCATTTCGCAGCTAAGTACCTCAGGAATTATGTTATAATTCCTTTCTCTGGAATAAAATGTTGTTAATTACTTCTATAATGTTAATTGCCAAACTACTATAATCTTTTCCTTAAAGTAGCTGAAGCCCTCAGTGGACATAATGTGGTCTCCTGAAAAAAGATCTCACTCAGGCCTTTTTCTTCATTTAAGTTTGAAATACCTGATCTCTTCATCCTTCCTCTCTTCGGTGACTTACAGCCTGATCTGCAATATAATTCCACTCTGGTGAAGGCCAAACACGGGTGTTCCAGGCTGGTGTCAACTGCTCACATTGTAAGGCAACAGGAGTGATTGTTTAAGAGCTACATACATGCTCAGACACATCCCTCAAGTAATCTTATTTTTCATACTAAAAAAAAAACTAAATTCCATCTTCCAAGGCAGGATTTACACTTCTCCATTCCTTTGCGTTGTGTTGATTTACGTGAAGCATTTAGGTAGCCCATTCCTTTTGAACAGGCCGTCTTGACTCAACATGTGATGCATTTAGGTAGCCCATTCCTTTTGAACAGACCGTCTTGACTCAACATGTGATTTATTTAGGTAGCCCATTCCTTTTGAACTGGCCGTCTTGACTCAACACAGCCCCTGGGTTAAGTTGCCTTATCGCAATGCACCCTATCCCAAAGATTTGTTTCAGTCTTTAAACAATAATAACAAGCCTTAACTTTACATTTCATGTATTACTAATTAAAACTGAACTCCAAACACAAACTAATTATTTAATATATGCACTGTAGAAATGATGTTCTGCCCCTACCTTTAAAGGGCAGAAGAAACATGGACAACTTTGTTTTGAGAGAAAAGAAAAGTGAAAGAAAAGCACAGCTTAAAAGACAGCTGTGTAAATTACATGGGTATCACACTGCTGGAACTTATACTGCCAGGCGGCATGATTTTGATTTTCTAAGCCAATTTACCATGCAGAATGTGTTCCGCTCTGTCCTGCTATGCATGGAATGGCATTCTTAAGACCAGCATTAAATATGGCTTGTGGTCAGGCTGATGGCCAGACACGAGCTGCTCTCCAGAGAACAAATATCACACAAATTTCTTTTACACAGTATTTAAGAACAATATAACAATAAAAATGCTTTATAAAATAAATGAATGGCCTCTCTGGACCTCCAAAAGCGGAATGTCCCATACTGTAGATTGTGAGGGTCTGCTGGAAAATAATGAAATGTACACACTTATACTCATTCAAGAAAAAGATAGCAGAACATTAAAACAGGAATTCATCTTTTAGGCTCCATTCACACTTGAGCAACTTGTCATGCAACTTTGGACAAAAAGTCGCAAGACAAGTTGCAGCCCATTGTTTTCAATAGCACCTGTTCTGATCAGTGTGACTTAAAATTGCAGCGACTTTGAAAAGGTGCCTGTACTACTTTGATGCGACTTAGTGCCAAAGAGTGTAAATTTAGATAAAAGTCGCACTCAAAAGTCCTGCAAAGTTGCACAAGTGTGAATGCACCCTTAGTGATCTAACTTGAGTAAAGTACATAAACTTGCAATAGTCATTCCAGTTTCCATTGCAGCTGTCTTCTTACTCTACTTTCATGAATAAGCTTGATAACCTAATAGTAGATAATAAATACCCCCTACAGGTTATATGAACATAACAGGCAGCAGCACATTGAATACCATGAGGCTGATTACATGTAGTGGTGTTATAATGTAATGGCTCTCAATTACAGGGCCATGGCCACAGCCTCACTCCTTATAGGCCCCCAGTTTCCATAGTGCCCCCCCCCAACCTTACATAGTGGTATTGGCCTGTAGTGTCCCCCAACATTCCACACTTCTCCCAGACCCCCTGAAAGCCTGCAGCACTCAGTGCCCCCAACCCCCTAAAGTACCACCCAGCATGCTGCAGTCCCCCCTAGCTTGCTGCAAAGCCTCCGGCCCCCCTTTCTTAACTTCCAACAGTGTCCCCCAGCCCCACAGGTCCCCCACATTGTCCCTGAAAAGCTCCCATCCTCCTGAAGATACCCCATCCCACACAGTTGCTCCCAGCTGCATCCAGAAACCTCAACCCCTACAGGGACACCACGTCTGCTGTAGAGTCAATTAACCCCCTCCAGAACCCCAATTTCCCCACAGAGACACCTAGCCCCATCCAGAACCTTCCAGCATACATATGTTGTATTCCCATACTTTAATTATGAGAGCATAAACTTTTTTTTTCTAAATATTGGGGCATATACGCTTTTGGATGAATTTGCAGGGACTTGGTCTCAATGTGGTTGAGAGCCACTATAAGTATAAAGTACAGAGAGCCTGTTAAAGAAAGGCTCTACTGAGTGATAAGGGTACAGCAGTCACCAATACATAAGGGTAGCCATAAACTGGTACAATTTTGCTTGCATGTTTACACAGAAATTCAGAAAAATCGTTCATTAGGAGCATAATAGTACCATCAGTAACTCAACAAGTTTAAGGCTCATTCACACTTGACTTTATTTCTAACTCTGGCCAAATGCCCCTATAGCGTCTGACAGGCGTTAGACAGGATTTGTGAAGCATTTTTAACGCTCCTCAAACGCTCCCAAAACGCCCGGTTTTGAGTCCCAAATGCGAGGTTTTGAGTCAGTTGATAGGCGTTTGCCAAGCATTAAAACCGCACCACAAACTCCTATAATTAAGTTAAATGGTATAAACTCTCTGCAACCGCGTCGCAACTGCACCACAAACGCCTGCCAGGCGTTTGCGAAGCAGCACCATAGACTTGAATGGGAAGCTTCAACTCCTCCTGATTCGACCCGAGGCGTCAGTTTTGCCGCAACGCTAACTCTTCCGTGTCAACAGCACTGTGTGTTGCATGTGCAGAATTTTCAGAGGTGTTTGAGAAGCATTAAAAAAGCTTCCCAAACTCCTGTCTGTCACCTGCTGACAAAGCTAGTGTGAACATAGCCTTACACAGCCTTTAAAAACTTCACCTGATTGCCACTGCCAACTTCACATTTTACCATTTGATTTTTTGTATTGCATTACTGATACATTAAAGCTGAATTCCAGGAATTCAGCCACTGTCTAAAATCTGCTGGCTGCAAGTCACCTTGTAGATTTATCCCTTTTTCTTTACAACTGTTTTACTGAGCACCAGGAGTACAGCTATCATTAAACCAACAGCGCTCTAACACGAGAGATGCTGCAATTTCATACAGCAGCACCCCAGCCCACCCTCTGCTGCTCATTCACAGAAGGCTTTGTATTTTGTGAATAGGTTTACAAAGCTCTCTGTGATTGGGCAGGAGGAGAGGAGGGGTGGGCATGTGGCAGCATAGGACTCTGCAGCTTCAGGAAACCAGAAGGTCCAGAGTGGAACCGACTAAATTATAGCGATAGCTGTATTCCTGGCACTCAGTATAGCTAAAATTTTTAAATTAAAGTGATAGGTTCACGAGGTGGTATGCATCTCGTTGGACTTAACCCTAATAATACAGAAGAGTTTAGAAAGTGGCTGAATTCCTGCAATTAGGCTATAACTTTAATCCATTGGCTGCTATGAATTACAGAAGAGATTTGGGCGGTCCCTCCTGCAAAAAAAAAAAAAAAAAAAAAAAAAACACCTCCTTTCTCCTAGAACTTTTTTTTTGCAGATTGTTTGGGTGCATGCACAGTGCAGTACGCACTCTATTCTCATGATCTTTAGAACACAAAGAATGAAGCCAGGCAAAATATATGTCATTAATGGCTGCCCAAGTAAAGGAGGATGAGAGAGGACCCTGGTCCAGAAGAAATGGCAGACAAGATGGCAGTGACGACACGGAATGTGGAGCTGGCAGTGTTGTTGGAATGCAAGCCCAAGGGTAAATCTGCTCATAATATGTAAATATGCTATTCATACTTTATAGCACCCTAACTGGGCATTCACATGACCCTGGCTGTAGAGACTCTTTATGCTGCAAATTATCCTCCCCTCTTTAAACAACTTAAAGCCAATTTAGATAGATGGTTAAGTTTCTCATTATTGAGGTTCAGGAGAATTAATTTTATAAAAATAAACAAACATACTACCTAGA